TGGCAGCCTATGCTGCGTGCTTCTGTTTGACAGTAAAGGCATGCGTATTCAAGGCCAAATAAACACTCCTCCTGTCTTCAGACACGATTAACAGCTTAGACATATGATTGTACATTTTCTGGGTAGACTCAGAACTGGTCCCCCTGCTCCTTCATCCTGTTTTTTATTGTGTACTGTCATTCTGCTGCTATCAGAATGTGTATGCATTTGCCTTCCTTTTGTCGGTAAATCAACATCCCTACAACTTGTGCTGTAAAGAAGGTAATTTGTCAAACCTTGGCAGCAGGTATCCAGTACTTTTGCCTTGCTTTTTTTCATTTTCTTTGGCAAATACTTTTTTTCATATAACTGCATCTAAATCTATATAAAAGTTTTTTGTGTGTTTAAGGTTCTCTATGGTCATAAAGAAACATGTCACTCCAGAAAACTGATTTTTGTTGTTGTTGTTTTAAAGGTTGAAATAGGATGACAAAAGAAAACAGTTGTGTTCTTCTTTTATTATTAAAATAGCCTATACTGCTCCCTACTGGAAGAGTGGAATTCTATGTTTAATATTCAAAACTGCACCCAAACTGTAGTCTATTTTTTTATTTATTTAATGATATTTTTGACTTGGAAAAAAATGACTTTTCCTGAGGGTGAATTTTTTACCCTTTAAGTTCTGAAGAAAAACGCCGGGATAGAATTTGTATGAAATAACTCTGAAATGAGTTGCCAAAACCTAATCTGATTTTGAATTACTGGAGTATATCTTATGAATGGCAAAAGGCAAACAAACAAAAAAAGCCTGAGGTGGCCTTATTAATAGCTATTCTTCATGGCGTCTTCGACCAACTTGCAATTTCTAAAGCATTTTTAATGCTTTCACCATGGAATTGGACCAAAGCTTTCTATGATTCTAAGTCTTGCTTGAGTTAAACGCATAATAAAATTTTCTTTTCAGCTCTGTGCAGGAGGAGTTATTACTCACAAGGGGTCTGTTTCTGAAATTTGCTGTGTAAGAAAGTCCATCTGGCAGTCACAGGGTGGAATTATTCTCTCAGTTGCTGTCAATTATAAAAGTTCTGTTGATTGTAATATGATGAAAGAGACCCTGGTAATTCTCCACAGCTGCACTATCTAGCAAATCTTAGCATGTGGAACAACTGCATCTGGTCCTCTGCTGATATTAAATTAGAATTTGATCTGAGGTGTTTGTCTTGTATATCGCTGTTCAACAGCTCACTTTCATAACAGCAAACATCAGTGAGGGAAGGACAACCTTTAATATTCTTCAAGTGAAAAAAATGTGTTAAACTGTTTGATAAGATCTGCTGACATCATAGAAGTTATTTCTGACTAGAGATTGCTGCAAGTGAGATCAGAGTAAGCATCACTTTAGCCTTTTGTCAGTCTTGTGGGGAATGTGTTTGGAAGAATGGCAGACTGCAATGAAAAAAAAAAATTTGGGAATAAAATTGCACTGGTTTGCTGTATGTTTATAGAGCATTAGTTGTCATCAACTTTAAATTTCTTTGAGTATCCAAAAGAAACTTAGTGTGGTTCTGGTGAAACTTCCTGTTAGCTGACCTCAATAATTCAGAAATATTGACAGAGATGAGTCTGGTGGCACAGTCAACTTAAGCTTTTCTCTTTGAATTAGCTGCTTATGCATAGAGAACACCGAATTCAAGAAACAGCTCGTACTAGTTGCAGGGAGTAGACATTTCTAACATAACCAAATGTAAATATTTTTAATCTGTGTTAGGTATGTGATATTAATGAATGTTTAAGAAATGAACGCGCTTATTAAATTGCACATGGTGTTAATACTGAAAAGTCTAAAGGAGAGCTGCTCCCTGATCTTCTCTTTAACCTCTCACTGTTTGTGCTAAGTGTAAGAGCAGCTTGGCTTTTAGGACAGTTATACCTTGTGGTGTTTGTTCCTTGTCAGCTGGCTCTGCGGTAGGAGGGAACATGAAGTGATCAAAGCAATTGCTGAATTCACAAGTTTCCTCTCTATTCCTCTATTTTTCTGCCTCAGTACTGCTTTCTGAAGGACCTTAATCTTGAAAATGGAAGTCTTGAATTTATCATTTTTGTTTTCAAGTTTCTGCTGCAGAACTTCTTTCACAATGAATACTCGTATTCTGAATGCCACGTTGTGCTGGATTCCTGCTATAATGTATTAGTAGTTTTCTCTGCATGTTTTTGTGAAATGTGGAGAGAGAAGTCTGCTGAAAAGATGATAAAGAAATGTCTGTCTCCCACTTTTATGAGGATGATGAATTAGTTCTTCGTTATTTACTTTACAAGTCCCAGAGGAGACAGCAATCTGGTATGTTAGGGATTGCACAAATACATAGGGCTTCATCCCATCAAGCTCTTCTTTTAAAGTCTCTACTTTGCAAACATATTTGCATTTGCTGAACTTAATTATTACAAGTAATACCATAAAAACTGGGGCTTAATAGGAAACAAAATGCAGTGATGTGCCCCGTGTAGAAAATGTGCAGAGAAGATAAAAGAAAAAGTTGTAAAATTGTGTTAATATTTTGCCCTAAAATAAACAAGTCTAATATAAATATTCAGAATTTTTGCTCTAAATGTGTTTTTCTCTTGATTTTTATATCTTAATAAAAAGAGAGAGAGACAAAGCTTATGGAGGTTAAATATGATATATAAAGTTATAAAATACAGATATATAAACAGTCTAAAATTAGAACTTAACTGAATATGAAATGGAGCTGCAGTTAACAGACATACAAACGTATATATCAGATACAATATAACCCATAGCATTCTGAGTGATATTGACACCTAAATTACAAATATCCTTTTTATTTATAGATAAAACACATCTTGCTACTTTTTCCTAAATTGAGCAGTCTGTTCCATGGAAGCTATAATTCCATCCCATCCAGATCAAACTGCTGGGAGGAAAAAAAATTCAGTAGTGATGCTTAAACATCAAAACAGATGCTCATCTGGAAGATGATCCATGTTGCATAAATATTGATATAAATACTTCTATGTTTCCATATACATCGAGTCTTGTGTTATTGCTTTTGTAATATTTTTATGAAATTCAAATCGTATATATGTTGGAGGCGTTGTCAATCATATCAATGTGTGCTTTCAGCAGTTTCTCTCCACACTTGGCTGCGTGCATTCCCTCCTCCTCCCCCCAACCCCCCATCAGGAAGGAGAGATAGGGCAGGTGAGGCAGCTACCTGGTTTCTGGAAGCACACTCAGCACAGTCCCAGCCAAGGCCTGTCCTGAATGCATGCTGGAGGGAGCACCAGTCTGCCTTGTTGGTGGCTCTCCTGGAACTGCAAGTTTCCAAACCCTCTGAAGAGGAGCAAGCTGAAGCATGCCCAGCCATTTTCAGCTCACCACAGTTAGCTGCCATACAGCTGAGCCTTTTCCATATTTGCAGCTGTTGTCTCCTATCTGTACGCAGGAGTTTTGCAATGTATATAACATACTAATTCCTCACTCTCAATTTGTCACAAATCATACTGTAATTATAATGATGTCTAAGATATATCAGTGTTGTGCTAAGCATGTGTGTAGATGTCTGGTATTACCAGAATTGCTCTGAGATTCTCATGCATCCTTATCTGTTTTCTTGTCCTTTTTGCTTTAGATTAGTGCTATTATTATTAAAACACACAGACGTTCACTCATCTTTCCCTTTCCATCTGTCACATATAGTATCTATATTGTCCAGGAATTATTCTTGCATTTTCTGCAGCTGTCACCAGGGAAGAACACGTCCTTTATTAAAGTGTTGGGAGTTGTTATACAAAAGACATCAATAACAAACGTTTCTGCTTTGTATCAGGAAGCCACGGACTCCTAGGTAGGGAATTGCAATAGGAGAGATCATTGAAAGTGGTTGTGCTTGGATTACAGTGTTTTGATTTGTGTTCAAGGTGACACAACGCATTTCAGAATCAGTAGCAGATTTGTAATGAGATCTGAACATTCACAGAGCTGCAAAGTTTCTTTGCTGGTATGCAGCTTGAGCATGTTGACTGTTAAAAACTTTCAAGGTGATGTTGAAAGCATTTGTAGTTTCATAAACTTATGTTGCTCTCTAAACAGTAAAGACTTAATAATTTTAGATACCTGTATGCATCATGTTACGTGTAGAGGTTTGTGTTCTTCAGAGATAAGTGTAAATTCATACTTTTTTGCTGGTGTTACATTGGCATGTTACAGGTATATGGTGTGACTAAACCAACTGGACCTCAGTATGGAAATCAACCAGGTGATTCATAATTAACTTATCACACAAACAAATGTGGTTTGGGCAGGATTTTCAAACCTTTCATAAAGTTTAGTAGAAGTGAGCAAAAACTGTACTGAAGTATTTAAAGGAATTTCAGTATACGAATGAAGAAGTGGTGATGTCCCTTAGAAATATCATGATTTGTGTGTCAACAGGTAAATACTTGGTTTTTGATAAAGTCTAGTAATTTTATTTAGAAAAAAATTTCTTTGAACCTGAGCCTTGCTTTTCATAAGTTAACTTCTGCTTCCTTTAAACCTATGAAGTTCTTGTACTGAGAAGCTATAGGAGCGGACTCGGGCCTTTTTACTTTCTTGTACTGCAGAATATCAGTTTTAGTAACCTAGTCCAGACCTTGGCCTATTTTGATCAGTGAGAACTATCTTGCTATCTTGCATCCTTGGTTTTTGTAGGGTTACATTATTTTCCAAAACAACAGTTTCACAGTTAAAGTTGCTTAACCTGTAGTTCAGGACTTCTATAGGGTCCAGTTAAAATGTTTTTAAAAGCTATTTGAAAACTCTTATACTCGTCTAATCAGAATTTGATTCCTGTTATTCTCTTGATTATAAATAGCTATATATAAATATGTTATGAACTATGTTATGAACTATTGAAATGGTTGTCCTTCCAAAAGATTACTTGGAAATCATTGAAAAATATGATTACTTAAATTAGGCCTTTCAATGCCCAACTTATTTCTCACAATTATACTCTCTTCAGTTTCTTGGCAGTACAGAAGTGGAGCAGCCCAAAGGCACGGAAGTTGTAAGAGATGCTGTTAGAAAGTTAAAGGTAAGGAACCATGAAATGCAATTAAAATATATTCTTAACTTATTTGCATACACAAGACATTTTGGCACTGCTAGATAAATTAACATGTTCTGAAAGCAGCTCATTTTACTGGTATGAAGGCAGTTCCCTATTATGTCTATGTTACCAGAGGTACTAATATTTAATTCTCTCATATTACAAGATTATAGTATAAATTCTGAATATCTTAACATGTACTGCTTGTTCTCTGGAAATTTTAGAGCTTCCTAAATCCTAATCTAGGTAGCAATAGTTTGTTTAAGCTGCCACTCTTCCACAATGGCTATTGAACACTTCTAATTAAGCTCATCAGATGCGTTGCCAGAGAGCTTCCTTGACCAAATAATCAGTGGTTTCAGTAATGTCTGTCCTGCATTTTTCTGAGCTTGCGATGCTTCCTATGAGCTGCAGTGAGGTGACATCTGTATTACAACACTTGGAGTACACATATAAGTAAAGCCTTTGGTGCCAGAAACCAGCAGTGCGAATGTCCTACCAAGCATAAGTGAGCTGTGGTGGGTCTGTGGGCACTGGCTATTCCTCACTGCTCTTCATCTGAAACTCATTTGTTTCTGTGCAGAGTGACTATTAGTCTGGTGGTGAAGGTTTGGGATGCTGATGTGAGTGCTGGTCACCCTCCAGCTGTGTTAACTGGTGATATGTTTGGAAATAGACTTGTGAGAAGAAAAGTGGTTACAAACTAATCGACATGTGTTTATGACAAGGGACATTACTGCCTTGTTCTCCGGGTCTTTGTTTTGCTGGAAAGGTTTGTACCCACTGACTCCATCCATGTGCTGGTATATACTGTTAAGAGGCTGAGAATATAAGATAGGTACAATTTCTTTTTGATTATATATTCTGTGGCACTGAGGGACTTGACAGACAAAGAATTTATCGTGCAGAAATGACCAAAGAGAGAAACAGGAAAATTGTGTTCATGATGTGCTAATATTCTTTGGTTTAAGCCATAATGTAGTAGCGTTCGCTAGTTACAGACTTGTTGAGGGTTAATAATTGATAATACAACCTTCATTTCACTGGTAGAGACAACTAATGTGCTTTAAAGTACTTTAAATGCTATGAATTGTGGTGGGAAATGCTGATGTGATTTATCTGTCAGTTGACCTCACAACAGAATTGAGCTGTTTTGTGCTCAGCTTCCTAATGCTCCTGGGACATTGTTTTTCTTAGTGTAAAAAGTATTTCCATGATGTAAAAAGTTATTTCCATAACTTTTTGAAGGATTTCCAGTGTTTCTTTAAACAGAAGTCCTCTGAAGTGGAAGGAAAATTTTGAGAATCAATACTGAACATCTTGGATTTTGTGTGTAATTACTATGATAATAAAAATAACCGAGGAAAGAGGGCATGAAACAGACTTCACGTGGTTGAACTTCTAAGGATGAGGGTTCCTTTGAACAAGTTTTTTTGTTTTTCTTTCTACAGAACTGATTAGTACGTTTTGCTCTACCAAAATACTACAGCTGCTGTTAAGTACTCGGTTAGTGCCTAGTGTTTTATGTCAAAAGACTTGTCTGCAGTTTGTCAGAGGTTATAAGCTAGTTGTTTTCCTGTGCAAGTGTATGTAGTTATGATCCTTTTTTAACAGCTGCAGCGTGATTATATGGATTGTTTTTAATCACAGGGTTGTTAATTGTTAGTCACAGTATTTAATCAAAATTATTGCTTATTAAAATAATTCTTCTTTAACATATGGGGCCGTTTTTACAACTGGAATGTGTTGGACTACTGGACTATTGATATTTTAGGTATTATTATTGCAAGCTATTTTTCATGACATCATCAAACTGTGGGGGAATATATATCTGATATGCAGCTTTATTTCAAATCAGAAAGCCTCAGTTCATACAGAACAAAGAATTTTTCACTTCCTAACAGAGTTTTGTGCAAGACTAGCATGCAACTCTGCCAACTTGCTTTTACCAGCAGGTGGAGCTAACGTCCTACAGTAAAAGATAAAGTAACTTCGAGGAAATTACTTGATGCCTCATTCTACTTGTTTTATCCCGAGTACTACTGTTCATACTTTCTAAATGCTTCTGATTTTGGTTGGTCAGTTGCAGTTTTGAGTACACAGTTGATTCAAGCATCTATATTTAATTTTCCTAGGTTATCCAGTGAGCATTTTGTTTTCTAGTCAGGGTTTTCCCTTATCTCAAATTTCTTGTAACTATACTGCAGGATGAAGAAGAAATTTGGACTTTAATAGTTCCATTCCTAAGATAAAGGGAATTGTTCTCATAATTTATTACAAACATTTTTTCTTTCCAGTAATAATTTCTAGAATGAATTAAACTTAGGGAAATGTTACCAAGTTGTCAAGTCGTACTTAATAAAATAAAGGGTTACTTCTTTTAATTAATGAAGGCTATCATGTTTAATTGAGACTGTAGAAATGAATTTCAACCTTCTCAGCATGTTGAAGTGTTCCCAGAGATGAGAAGAGATTGCAAGTTCAGCGTAACAAATGGAAAGGATGGCATAACCAGGCCCTGTGTAAGAAAGTATTTTGGAATAGCCTTTGGGAGAAACCAGGAGTAAATGCTTGTTTAACTGTTTCTCCATGACTTCCCTTAAAAGGTCCAACCTTGAGGCTGTTCTCTTCTATTCACTTTCCAGCTCAGTCTCCCCTTTCTCCTCCTTTTTTTTTTCTCTCTTGTAAATGAAGATAAGAGATAATGTCAATGGCACTGATCACTTAAAAGTCACTTGAAATATTCTTCATTGCTCCCTGACCATTAAGATTAGCAAGATGAAGGAAGGATACTTTCACACAGGATTGCATGAGTGTCAGGCTGCTGTCATTAGCATGTCATCAGTGCTAATGTTCTGAGCTTCCTTTCATGGTTAAACTGGGTTATACTGCTTCTTGAAGGAACAGAGAAGAGCAGAGAACAGAAACCTTTCACTGCTGGGAGGAAGAGATTTCCAGACAAGCCTTACAGCCATGGCATTTTGCTTTGAAGTACTTGAGAAAGCACAATTTGTGGCTGGGGACAAAAGCAGGTCAGATGAAAAGTGTTAAAGAAGAGAATACCCGATTTCTTTCAACAAACAAAAATCTTTGAGGAATGAGAGATGGAAAAAGGATTTTATTGCATTGTCTTCTACTATTACAAGTCTATGTAGTTACTAATAGATCAGAGCCTTCTCAGTCCAGAGTGTCTTTGGAGAATAAAATACTTAGCCCTCGATGGTGGATTTGTGAGGCAGCTTGTTCCCTACCCAACTGACTATTAAGATATATCTGTGGTCTTTTCATTCTGGTTGTCTTCTTGACAGTTTTTCTGAGATCATACTTTCATTAGATCCACAAAACATGTGAATGAGAGCTTGGACCATAATGTGGTCTAGTGGCCATTTTCTTCAGACATCTCCTAACGGCTGGCTATGGAACACTCAGGAAAAACTTCTCAATGTCTGGTAGAAAACTGGCTCTCAGCACAGACAACTGTTACCCTCAAAAAGGCATCTTTAAAGATATCTGCATGAAGTGCTGTGTGAGGTGTCTGATACTGGAAGTCTGTGCAGGAGGAAGGAATTGAACATCTGTTCCCCAGGCTGAAGATCCGCACCCAAATAATAGAAATTTCTTCCTTTTGACATTTCAGGTTGATCTCTAGTAAATGATTGAATCATGCAGAGAGGTATAAATGCTAAGTAAAATCTCACTGATTTTATTTGCACAGTGTAATTTGGCTGAAAATTTTTTAACCATTTTTTTTATTAGCTTCACTTCTGACAGATTGTGATGTATGCCTTTTACTCGTGGTGTTTTTGCTAATTAACCTTCTGATTGCATTTGCTATTGCTGTACTGAAGGCATAAGGATTTCAAATACAACTATTATTAATATTAGAGCACATTATTTTACCTGCTGCTGTAATGAAAGATAAGACACATGGAAATGTTTTTCATGTTTAAAAAAATAACAAAAAACTACTAAGTAAAACCATTGAAAATAGTTTGTTTTCTCCAAAAAAAAGAAAAAAAAAAGAAAACATGGTGTTAATTCCAAAGCAGTTAAATAAAAGCTAGCTCATCCCCCTGAGCTGCTCAAACTACTATTGGACCAAATTTGAGTGCCTTGCCCGAGAACAATAAATGTATAAAGTAACGGCTTAAGAATTTGGCCCATCCTATCCCTTCCTAGGCCATGCTCTGATTCATTATAGTTTTGTATCATTGTCCATTTTGATGCCAATGGGAGGCTACAGATTTTTACCCTCTTATATAATGATGTTACTGTGTGCGATATAAATATTTGTTTCAAATCTGTGCTGAATGGACAAAATTACATTTGTGAGTCTCCTGTGCCCAGAGGCACCTGAATGTCCATTTTAGAAAAAAAGAACAAGCAAATAAAAGGGGAGAGGGGAAAAAAAAGCCAAATGGCACATAGCTGAGTAAGATTTGGTGTTTTAGGGTTGAGTTTGCAAAGTGGTGAACCAGGCTTTCTGAGGAGGTCAGCTGTGGCATTGCCCTGTATCTGTAAGGTATCTGTTCTTACACAGAACAGGGAGCAGGCAGGAAAAGCATCAAGAAAACAGCTGTATGTACAGATGTGCATATCAACATGCACATTTCAGTCATTGGACCTCAGCAGACATTTGGTTAAAAACCTTGTTCATCTCTCCAGATGTCTCTGAAGTCCTTACATCTTTCATCATTAACTTGTTTTTGATTTGCCTCCTCGGTATATCTGACAGACCTTATAAAGTGGTTTTGCTATCTTGCAAATTTTCTCAATTTTATCAACATCCTTCTGGATTTGGAGACCTCAGAACACAGAATTTGGGTTGCTGTTTCACAAGCAGCTGATTCAGTGTGCTCACTCTTAAGGACACATTTAAAATTTCCAAGGTTTGGATTCTTCACTTCATGAGGAGAGTCTCTAGTTTGTAGAAAGCCAACCATGACATCAGGCCATGCTTAATTCTGTAGTGTTCTGCTTGGTTGTGTTACTTTATTTGCAACTCCATCAGCATTGGTATTCTGCAGGTTTTTCTCTGCAATGATTTTAAATTTCACTACAGGTCATGAGTAACTTTTCTCCCCATTTTTTTTAAATCTTTTTTCAGTCTGCAAACTTTATCAGTTTTCTTCCTGGTCATTTTTCAATACTGTCTTGCTTAAGAAATAAACACTGCTGGAATACATTAGAAACATACCTTCCCAATGACAATTTCCTGTTTATAACTGCATCTGGAGACTAATGTAACTAACTTCACTAATACTTTCTTGGTATTGCTTCATTTCCTAAATACAGTGACATGCAAAGCTCGCTGAAGTGCCTTGTCTATTTTGACAAGCTGCATTTTAAGTGTTGGTGTAAAATCCATATTGATCAGCATTAATTTCATCTTGATGGAGTTCTTCAGTTCGTATGCCTGATTTATACCTTTTGGAAGCAGAGTTATGGGAGGGTCATTCTATTTATCCTTAGTATTGGCACAGAATTACCTTCTGGAACTTCCTTGGTGTGTTATAAGACTTCTGGACTACTTGGAGCAAGCTTTAGCCATCTGCTCTAAAACTTGTGCAAGTTACTCAGATCATTTTTTTCAATGTATACTATGGCTTTAACTCAGTAAAATTATATTCTTTATGCCTGTTTTTCTTACTGCACAGAAATACTTGCGTGCATTTAGCTTGTAAAAGGACATTTCCAAAAAGCCAGAGTTCATTCAGGTTTGAGGCTGTTCCAAATCAGTGTGTGCTCCAGGATTATCTGCTGTGAGTGAACGTAAACTTCATTTGAGAAATGAAAGCTCAAAGGAAAATATGTCAGCGTGTCACAGCATGCAGGAATGGCATCAGGCTGGTAATCCTGCTGTGAACAGGAACAAATCCTCCCCTAGACCCAGTCTTGTGCTCATTGCATTCAGTTATACAAGAGCACAGGTTTCAGGACAACATACTGATATGGGTGATGAGCTGACATGCCAGTCCCTGGGCCTCAGTGAGTCATCTTCTTTATCTGATATTTGAAAATATAATTTCTGATTGTCAGAGACAAAAGAGTATGGGGCAGGTAATGGAGCAAAAAGAGTAATGCTGAATCTTTGCCAATAATGTTACCTAAATTCATCACACTTCTTTTGACTGTAGCAAATTTGAGGCACTGCTTATTTTATCAGCAGTGTCCACGAGAGAAAAGTCAGATCCAGCTGCTGAAGAAAGATTAATAAAAGGATAGAAATTGTATTAAATACGACATACGACCCAGTCATACAAAATTTCATCTATTGATCTGATAGTGAACGGATCCTGAGAATATGGTAGCAAAAATCAAACACTGCTTTGGTGTGGGCAGTTGTAGTGCTTTCACACTGAACCAATTTAAAATAAATGACTTTCTTAAAATGTATGATATACACTGTCCATGAATGTACAGAAATGAGTAGAGTTACTGTGGTGTGGGGGGAAAAAATTCACTGCTAAACAACCAAGCAGATAAACTGTCCGTCTGTCTGTGTGTTTTCCTAGGCAACTGAAGCAAAAGTGTCAGTTAGGTGCATGAACTGCAGAGGAAACAGGAAGTAATTTAAACAAAATCAGCACAAAAAACTTAATATATATATTTTTTTTTACAGTTTGCAAGGCATATCAAGAAATCTGAAGGCCAGAAGACCCCTAAAGTTGAGTTACAAATCTCAATCTATGGTGTAAAAATTCTAGATCCAAAAACAAAGGTAGGATACCTATTTATCTGTGATGTTAAAAGAATAACTATGTATGGTTTCAGAGGCTTTTATTGTCTTATACTTTAAAAATGCATTACAACGAAAGCAATTTCATTGATGTAAATGTTATCTAAATTGCCATTTCTTCTCACTACAAATGGGTAACATCTTCCCCATAAGGAATCTGATGCTCAGAATTATGGACCATAACTAACGTGCTATTGATATTTTTGTAATCCTCATACACCAGAAATTCTGAGAGATTAAAACACAGTGACAACTACACATTAATTCTGAATGCTGTATGTACCCATGTTTGTTTGCACTGACTCAGGTCTCATGCTGCTCCTTTGGAATTGCACCTCTTTCTTTCTTCATTCATTTTTTACTTCCTCTTCCTGTGTTTTTGATTTTAATTATGGTGTCCTCGCTTCCCCAGAACGCTGATGTTTTTCAGGTGTTATTCATTTGTCTGTAAACCTTGGGCTCTGCATCTGGCACAGCATGACAATTCCTGTCTTTTCAGCATTTGTGGTCCTTCGTGTCATCCCACTGATGGGCTTTTGGTTTGTTTGTTTGCTCTGGTATTTTGGAAGAGGTTACATACTAAGGGAAACATCTTTCTCAAAGACTTCAAAGAAGCAGCTAAATGAGGAATTATTTAGCAATCAGCGATTCAGAACATATGAATGCTCTTAAGCTTTTTGTGCAAATGTTAATTTTTGAATTTGAATGAACACTTTGTTGCTACATTTTAGTTCTGAAGTCATTGTGACCATTCAGAGAGTGGTACTGCCTTTTGGGAAAAGGTAGCTGTAGTTAAAGACTACAGCTGCTTGCAACCTTTTTTTGCTTCGAACTCTAGACAAGACAACAGTTCCTAAGCCCAAGGGCCAAGAAATACCCGTATCAACTATTGCAGTTTGTGCATTTTCTTTGTCATGGGACAGGAAGGGATACCAAACCCTATACACTGGCAAAAGCTGTTTTAGCATAAGAGAATTTAGTGCCAAAATATGTTAGAGATTAAAAGAAATCTGTGGGACAGACAGTACTGAGGGAATGGAACATCTTAATCTTGTAACGATGTTATTACAAACTGCGATGGTAATCAGCTCTGAGAAGCCTTTTTATCTCCCTCACTTCTTTTCCTAAAGCTAGATGTAAAAGCAAATGTGAATCAAGGTTTCTGTGTTTTTGCAAATTTTATTTGTGGATTCCATACTTAGCATTCAAAAAAGGGGAACTACAGCAAAATACTGTTCTTTAATCATACGAGGTAATTACACTGATTTATGAACCTGTAAGAGCCCATACAAGCACGTGCTCTTACGTGTAACTGTTAAAGAGCTATAGTGGAAGGACAGAATGTGAGAGATGAGGGGACGTGAGAGAAATAGGATGCACAGAAGAATAACTGTAAAGATTGAGAAAAAGGAAGCTTTCTTGACTTAATTAGGGTGAGGGAAAGAAAAGGGGAAAACATTGCCTATAGGGTACATTTGTGGATAAACTGCTGAGAGAAAGTGTGCCCTTGTTTATGAGTTTATAGCAATCTGTGAACCCCTGTGCTGTAAAGAAACACTTTGTTCTGTAGATGATAGTTCATATCTAAACTGCATATTTTCCTTTAAAGCAAATACTGCTTTCCCATGTAAGAAGCCAAAGAAAATAAAAATTCCAAGAAGAGACTTGTAGAAGAAAAGCAAAAGAAAAAAAAAAAGTTTTTATTATTATATTGCAGTCTTACTGAGATATTTCAGCTGAAGAGCATCACCACTGCAACTTTTTAAGTATCTGGGGCAATAGAAATTAAACCAGTATTTTAAATATGCAAACAATAATGTTTAAAAATTATTACTGTTACAGTTGATTTCTACTTTATGTCTCTAGATAACAAAGCCAGTTCTCTGTATTTAAGGTAGAAAGATAAGGACTCACAACCGTTTTAGCAAAGTCTAGGAGATGATGAGATCCAAAGATGGTGAACACGTGGACAAAGAGCAAATTCTTTTACATAATCAGTCTCCAAATAAATTGCACTGCGGCACAAAGCAGCACTAAAAACTAATTTTCTAGTACAGAAATTACTGCCCAAATAAATGCTTCCAAATAAATACTGTCTGAAGAAAAACTTCCTGTTTACATTCAGTAATAATGGGAATGTTTCTTAGAGAAGATGAGTTTAACTTCTGTTATATTTTTAAGTTCATTTCTTCAAGTCTCTCATGCACGGAGATTTTTTGTATCCCACACAACTATAGCATTTCCTTGAAAATAATCTTTGTTTTTTTTTTCTAGGAAGTTCAACACAATTGCCAACTCCATAGGATATCATTTTGTGCTGATGATAAAACTGACAAGAGGATATTTACTTTCATATGCAAAGACTCAGAATCAAATAAGCATCTGTGCTATGTATTTGACAGTGAAAAGTGTGTAAGTATGCAAGATTCTTTTTACAAGACTGAGTGCTTAATATGGAATTTGTTTTAAAATAAAGTAAGAACGGTTAGCAAAAGGAAACAGCCTGCCTGCTAATTGAGGTCAGTATGGTGTAACCTTTAATGCTAACATAGTCCCTTGTAAATTAGATGCATTAATTTGTCAAGAGTCTATTTTTCTTTATAGGTGGTTTTCTGGGAGAATTCTTCTTCCTACCCAGCTCAACATCCTAGTCCAATCATCTGAAATACTCAGAACAGTGCATCCCACTAAGCTTGAAATGTTTGCACAGCTGTTTTGCAGAGATTACTGTAACCCTGTAGCTCAGATATCCTCACAGGCACTTCTGCCTATGTGTCAGCCTCAGCCTCTACTCAAATGTTTTAAATATTTTTTTCATTACAGCAGAGTTCCCCCTACCCTCCCCCCTGCCACATCTCAAGTTTGTAATGCTGTGATGCACTACCAGAGAATTAATTTCACCAACTACTGACATTCTCTCGTGTCTGAGATAGAACAGGGCAACAGTTCCAAACTGTGCGATAGCAGAAAAAAGTTCTAATTCAGGACAGGAAATGAAGAAAATGGTGCCTCATTCAAGCAGTCGTGCATTTTCCTTGGCAGAAAGTAATGAACAAATTAAAACATCAGAATCAATGCAAAAAAAAAAAAAAAAAGGTGCTTGTTTTTTGTTGTCTTTAAATCTAGATCATCTCTGATTTATTCTGAAGTAGGTGAGAAAATAGAAAGGAAACATTGTTTGTTTTTTTTTTCAGAAAAAAATTGTGTCATTGTCATAGAATTTGCTTGAAATTATGTATCACTGTGCCATGTAGGCATACAGAATTGTTATACACATCTGTTCAACCCTCTTTACATTTCTATCCTGTTGCTTTTATGCACAGTTGTCACTTCAGTTGTCCCTGCACTTTCTGCATACCAGTGCCATTTCTTCTCCAAGCCCATGTACTATTTTTCCCCTGTCCTAATACTCCAGTTACTGTAATTTTCTGCTTTCACTCTTCTGTTCATTAGCAAAGGATCCCATCTTGGTTGATACCTTTCCTTTCAGCTGACCTTTCTCCTTCCAAGGAAAATAGTTAGGAATGTATACTCCCCCTGTCCATTACTGTGTTCTTTTATTAACAGTAACAGTTACTCTCTAAAGCAGTTGCAGTTAAGCTTTTTGTCTGCTGAGTCTAATTTCATTACAGTATTTTTGGTAGTGATTTTATTGTTATTACCTACTGAAGATATAGGTAGAAGCATTAATTCTCCATGACTGCAGTATGAAGGTATTCCAACACACCTCTACTGAGTGACTTTGCTGTTGTGCTGATGGATGAGGGCTGGGAAATGTTCAAGTTGCACCCGCAGTTATCTGTATTTTGCAGAGAAGTTTTTTCCATGCTTCTTTGCAGTGTTGAGTTCATGAGAGATGAAGCAAACCATTTGAACATGATATACTGTGTGAGGTATTTTGTGATCGTTGGAAATGAAAGTAATTATATAAAATATTTTTAATACACCACTTTCAATTTATGTTTTGTGCAAAGGCCGAAGAGATAACTTTAACAATTGGCCAAGCATTTGACTTAGCTTACAGGAAATTTCTGGAATCTGGAGGAAAAGATGTTGAGACAAGAAAACAGATCGCAGGTTTACAGAAAAGAGTAAGTTCTGATCTTTAATTTTTTAAGATATAATAAGAAAATCCCATTGTCATTGTTACATTTTTCTATGACAGCATTATTTTCAGCATTCTCAGATTGCTAAGAATATCAGCAGATACTTAAAAAAAAAAAAAAAAAAAAGCTGAATAAAGACTTGATAACTGTGAAACAACATTTAGATTTTCTGTTTTTTAAGGTGACTAACAGAAATGAAGGGTTGAAATATGTATGATACTGGTGTTCAAATATGTTTAAATTACTTTCTGTAGTCAGATTATTGCTACGAAATTACCAGAACTCCAGCGTTTTTAATTGTAAACAGACAAGTAATAGATATAATTGAAATGAATTAATATTCCAATAGCTGTTGCAATAACCACTTGCTTTATAGATCCAAGAATTAGAAACTGAAAACACAGAACTGAAGAATAAAGTTCAAGATTTGGAAAACCAGTTAAGAATAACACAAGTACATGCACCTCCAGTAAGTAGATGAAATTCACTCTTATTCCCAATGTTACTTTCAGTTTATAATCATCTCCATTATAATAATTATCTATGCTGTTTCCAGTGATTATGATTAACATCAAGTGATCATGTAACAAATCTGAAATGGACTAATGAAGTAACAGTACAATTGTGACACAGTGTAAATGGCCGTCTCAATAATTTGTGGTTCTTTATTTGTCTTGTTATACATTTTTGTTGCCACGTAAAACCAACATATACTCCTATGTAGACACCTAAGTGTGCTATCTAGGGAATAGAAACTCTGTTCTGCACTGATTTGACAATGCTACTTTGGATTTTTCAAAGAACTTTCTGTCACAAGCATATAATTACTTATACCTGCAGTTTTCTAAATGACCTTCTAAAAAAATTGTCTTTCAAAGGAGTCATTAGGGTCTCAGGGAACTAGCACGGAAGGGCAGATAGAAACAATCATATGAGGGCTCCTTATCACTCAAATTTGCTTTCAAATAGTGCTTTCTTCTGTTGTTATTAAAGATAGTACTGTTTGTAGTGTCTGACATTACTCAAGACTAGACTACTCCTTTTCTTACAGGCCTATTGTCTGTACATCATTAGATAATTGTAGAAATAAATAAATAGAACTACGTAATGGAGTTATACTGAAGTAAAAGTAAAAAAGTCAAGCTGCTTTTAAGCTGTGTCCTTTGGGCCTTTGGGCCACCTTGTTCCTGCCCCAGATGCACACCGTTTCACTTACATAAGTCTGGGCAATGTAAAAACGTGTTGATAGCAGTGACAACAATTTTTCTGTTGTGTCTATATGCTCTTTTGATATTGATGAGATGTTTGTTTCCGTGAGGAGACATAAATGTTATTTAATTTTACATAAGCCTGTTTAGTGGGGAGAGCATCATAAATTATTAATATTGTTTAAGTCTCACGGTGAAAATTGTTAATAATGGATGTCTTTTCACTTCTGAAGCATTCAATAAACATTTTCTAAATGCTAGATTTAAAAATGAATATGGTAAATTATAATTTTAATTTGAATGACAGCTAGTTTCCTTTATTTATGAATATAAATAATTTAATTCAATTAAAGAATCTTTCATAAATTCTATTAAATATACACTTAAGTCATTTATGACAGACATAGTTCTCTTTCATTTAAATTAAGAAACTTGGTAATTGCATTTAGCAAATAAAAGAATAATGATAATAATGATCAAATAGTATCCTGTAGTGCACACTTGTTTGCCTTTTAAGACAGTGGTATCGCATTCCTCATTAAAGATCTAAAATGGAACATTTGTAAACTCTAGATAGTGTTTTTTGTTGACTACTCTTGGTTCAATAACTGCATGTTGCTGAATTATCACTTATGCTTTAACAAATCGATATTTTAAGTATTCATAATTGCTAATATTGTAATAATCAATTTACAAATATTTTATCATGATTAGAATTACACAAAGAGCAATCTAGCAACCTGTTTATATTAAACAGGCATTGATTTTTGTCGCAAGATAGTCTGAGATGAATGGTTTGGATAAATATTGGAAGAGGTTGCCCAGAAGGGCTGAGGTATCTGTGCTCCTGCAATTATTCAGTACTTTGCTGAACGTGGCCCTCTGCAAATTCAGTTCAAGTCTTGTTTGAGTGGGAGTTCACATTAGGTGATGCTCCAATCTAAGTCATTTTTCAATGAGTTGTGTAGATGGCAATTAAAAAAAGGCAATCGTAGGGGGAAATGCCTTTCTTAAATCACGTGTAGGAGCATAGTCCTACCCACCAAACACTATTAGCTTCTGTTCTTGATCGAGAGACTTAGTATAAGTTGGTTTCCTCCAAACTATTTTGTATCCAGTATGTATGAAAGCTGTTAATTGTGCTAGCAGAAGAGTAATTATGTATAAATGCAAAAGGTTGAAAATAAATAAAGGAATGGAATAATGAGGTTATGAAGTGACTATTCAGTGCAAGGAAGAGGAATCATGCATATTTTCGAGACCAATTGTGATAAAGGGATCATAAAGGTGCCTGGAAGAGCAGTGGGTGTGCTTTGGTGATAAATATTTCATCTCTTACTATTTGAGCAGGTAGTTTGTTTGCAAGTAGACTACAAACATTTCATAAGATGATTCATTGTCTGTTATTTTTGAAATGAATTTTATGTACTTTCAATTCATATCAGCCATCGTTTAAAGAGAAACTCCATAAAACTCCAGTGCTATTAGAGGAAAGCAGCAGCTTTCTTCTTTCAACTTAATTTCAGTGAAGGAAAAGATCAATTCATTTCATAAAATGCAATTAGTGAAGAATAGATGGGATTTTTTCTGGATTTAAATTTAAACATTTAAGTACCGTATTTTTTAAAATGCCTGTAGTAATGCTGCAAAATTTCTCCAAAGTTAGAAAAATAACAGCTCTGCCTTGTGATCGCTTGGTCTAAGTAAAATTTTGACATCTGTTGACAGTACAGTATTTTGTTAAATATGGAAATAACATAATTCTATGCATAAATGAAGGAGGATATTCATCATAGAGGATCATACCTCATGTGAGTCGATTTATAAGCATTTTGCAGTTGAACAGGTGGGAAAATTTGCTTATCTGCAGATGCTATTCATGCTGCATGTTATGAATGTGAGGTGCTCATTCTTGTGATGTAGAACACTTATTAAACAGTAAAGTCTGTTTTCTCACGGACATTTAGATGATGATAACGGCTGTTAGGGTGTTTGTGTGAGCCCTTCGTTGCTCCCTTAAAACAATCCACTCATAAAAATTGTAAAGAATAACCAAAATTACCATTAAAAAGAAGACTTTTTATTTCTCTAGGTCAAACTATAGGCTTGTGTTTTGTGAAGTACAAAGGGAAACAGTCTAAAGCTGCTTTCCTGATTCTTCCTCCTACGCTGATTTTTGGAAGGATGTGTAAGGGTTTCTTTGAGGACTTATTTTAACTAATGGCAGTCTGAAATGGGTACAAATTATTTACATGAAAAATGCAGTTATGTATCCCTTTGTATTTTTTGTATTGTTTACAAGGATGCAAAGTACTGACAGCAGTATGTTTCTGCTTCTGAGGGATACACCTATCAAAAGTCTTTGATTGATTGATAGAAAGTGTTGCTACTAAAATGTTTCTTTGGTTGCTGTAAATCTAGTCAAAATTGTCAAAGTAATATCAACCTAATTTAGTTGTCTTTTTTATCTGTTCATAAACGGTGTGGGAAAAATTCTTTCTGAACCCATTAAAGAAGCCATTATAAGCAGTGAGAGCATAGGTGGAAATGAAAAAAAGGAAAAACTAGATTGTATAACAAAAATTAGGAGTAAAATTTATTGTTAAAATTGAATGTGGAACTGTCAGTCGTCTTCATGCTTTCTTTTTATCTGTTTGAACTATTTGTCAGTAAATAATAAATTGCTTAGCTTTTTTTTCTGCATTGGGGTGGTTGTTTTTAAGTGTGTTGGTCTTGCTAAAACTTGAAAAAGTCAGTCACTAAAATATTTGTGTTATTCGATAGGAAGGGTCACTTTTTGTAATTTCCTGAATGAATGAGTGAAGGGCATAATGTCTTATAAAGTATGGTTTCCTTAGGATGGTTTCCTTTATGTATGCTTATGTAAGCTGCACTTACATAGGCCATGAGAAATGTTGGTATGGGATGGATGTGGTTTTCTTTCTTTCTCTCTCCCTTGCATGTACAGCTGAAATTTCCATTACTCATGTATCTGTGCTGTTTATTTTTCATCTCTTTTAGTGGTTTGGCAATACATTAATCACAGGTCTTTCTTGCATTTGGTTTTGATTATATGAGGATAATCTGATTTTTATTTTGTTATTTGCCTATGATGAGGCTGCTTGAATTTGTGTCATTAGTGTTTGGATACTGCTCCTATGTATAAATCCAGCTTCCAAAGATCAGTGCTTCCCTGGAAGCGAGATTTCATGATGTCTTTTTCTTTGGCTCATTATACTGTTGGTGGTATTAGGAGAGCAGCTGGGTTAGCTGCTAGCTGTACACACAGCCTTCATGTGGCTTAGCAGCTGCACACAGTGAGCACCTCCAGCTTTTATAACAGAATGAACAGCAAAACCCAGTAGGCCACTAAGAAACCTCTGAAGAGACCATAGAATTATCGAAGGTTTTCAGTTGAAAGGGATCTTTGAGATCATCTAATTGCAACCCCTGCTACAGGCAGGGATACCTCCCTCTAGACCAGGTTGCTCACAGCCCTGTCCAGCCAGGCCTTGAACACTTCTAGGAAGGGGGCAATCTGTTCCAGTGTCTCACTACCCTCACAGTAAAGAATTTCTTCTTAATATGTAGCTGAAATCTACCCTCTTACAGTGTAAAACTATTTCCCCTTGTCTGTTGCTACATGCCCTTATAAAAAGTCCCTCCCCAGCTTTCCGGTAGTCCCCCTTCAGGCACTGGAAGGCCACTATAAGGTTTCCTCCAAGTCTTCTCTCTTCCCTGCTGAAAAGCTCTTTCATTGTGACCTTGTAGGAGATGCTCTAGACCTCTGATCATCTTTGTGGCCCTCCTCCGAACTTGCTCCCACAGTTCCACATCCTTGTGTTGGGGGCCCCAAAACAGATGCACTACTCCAGGTGGGGTCCCACGAGAGCAGAATAGAGGGGCAGAATCACCTCCCTCAACCTTCTGGTCACACTTCTCTTGATGCAATCCAGGATATGGTTAACTTTCAGGACTGCAAGTGCACATTGTTGGCTCATGTTGAATCTTTCATCAACCAACACCCCTAAATCCTTTTCCCCCTGGCTTCTCCCAAGCTATTTGCTGCCCAGCCTGTATCTGTGCTTGGGATTGCTCCAGCCCTGATGCAAGATCTTACACTTGGTCTTGTTGAACTTCATAAGATTGGAATGGTGTGACTTCTCAAGCCTGTGCAGGTTCCTCTGGATAGCATCCCTCCAGTGTGTCATCTGCACCACTCAGATTGGTGTTGTCTGCAAACTTGCTGAAGGTGTGCTTGATCCCACTGCCCACGTCACCTACAAAGTTGTTAAGTAACACCAGTCCCAGCAGTGATCTGTGAGGAACGTCACTCAACACCGGTTTGATAAGAAATTGTTGATGTTTTTTCATCATGGCTGAAGCTTGTCATTTGTACCTTGAAGGTTTTTTTCTTTTTTAGCAACATGGCTAAGCAAAGAAGGAAGTTATGACAACTGTGTGACTCTGACTTCAGATAGGGAAAAAAAAAAAAAAAGGAATATTCAGGAAAATAGGACTTTAATGTCTACATGACAACTCAGTGCTTCTTGCTCTGACATTGTTGGCAAAGCCTCACCTTTTTTCTCTTTGTAAGATATTTATGGATTTAACCATTATAATGTTAAGTAGTGACCTAGAAGCATAGGGTGCCTCTTAAAAGCTTCAAAAGCTTTAACATATGTATGAAGTGCAAAAACGAAGCAAAACCAACATAGAAGTTGGAACTGCAGAATCCAGAAAACAGTTCTGGAATGTGTTTAGGCATATCACTTGATTCATCTTTTCCATTAAGATTGCCAGGGGGGAAGATGCTCATGTTCTTTCTTTCTTTGTTTTCTGATTCTTCAATTTTACCATATGCTATATTGAGTTTATCCTTATAGTTTTGCATCCTGTATGCATTTTATTGCTATTTCATTTGATATACTTGCAGAAGTTACTGTTTGGTCCCCTAAAAGGGTTGGTTGGGCATGTTTCTTAAACCAAGTATTTGAAGACATTACTTTTTGGCTTTTATTTCCAAACCCAGTCATAAAGGCTCTATGTTTCACCTGGACAAGATCCAAATTTTTGATAACCTATTATGGTTTGCAGACATCTTCCATTCAGGCAAAAAATTACTTATTGAATCAAGGTGGACAGAACCCTCAGCTTCCCTTTCAAAATGCAAAGAATGTTGCTGGAATGTAGAGGTAAATAGACCCTGATCGTGTGAGGCAGACTGATTCAAGCTCGTCTAATTCAGACCAGAACCGTGCAATTAGCACTCAGTCAGCTTACATGGATGCTCTAACCAGCTGTTATCTGCCTCTGTGACAAGCTGTTATGTGAGATTTCAGAGATTCAAAGAGTACTACACACCTCAACATTTTTATTTCCCCAGCAGTGAAGTTTTATTCTGGGTCTGTGCTGCTGTTGTACAGAAATAAGGATTCATTTGCTGCTTTTGAGATACCTACTGAAAATACAGTTTCCTATGTTGAATTATTCATGTGCACAGAAAAGATAGCAGAAGGAGATTACTGTCTATAAATGTTTGCTCTCAAGTTAAGGAAATGAAAGAAAGTCTGATATTAATGTAAGCCTTAGAATGTATGTGCTGTTAGCTTCTACTGTAAGAAAACTTAAATATTTCTTTTTCTATAAATATCTGTGGGATATAAATGGGTGTTTCATGGTGTGGAGCAAAAAAACCCCTGGCCTGTACCATAATCACTATGGTAACTTTACCTTCCATGATATGTGCTTAACTGCCCGTATAAATGTGCAGATGTGAGATACTGCTGTTTGTTTGTGAATTTGGACTTTTGTCAGCACACCTGAAATGTCCACTTTTGGAAAGATCCCTGTCATCATTTTATTTTAATGTAATTATTGAGGTGCAATTTGTCTTCATTGTAGTTAACTCTGGGCTACCTCTTGTTGCAGCACTGTTTAGATTTGGTTCTGAAGTATTATTTAGTTTTGTATCCTTTCACTATAGTACTGACAAGTTGCAGACAACCTTTTTTGAAGTATGAAATGCCTTTTTATTCTTCTTTCCCTGACGCCTCATTCAGTTCCTCAGAGTGTTTTCTTTCTGTGATTCCTTTTCAGCTGCTGCACATAAAGTGTGATAATGATGAACATATGTTTCAAAGACCCTCTACTTTTTTCTGGTGTAACAATGAGGATTCACCACCTCCTTGTTTAGATATCTCTTCCATTACGCTTACTCCTAGGAGTTCTCCTGACTCTAGACTACCAGCTGGATTATTAATACCACCACCTTCAAAAAGTGGTCTTCCAAAGCCATCCAGTGAATACGGCTGTCCAAGACCTCGTGTAATCCTGCTGTGCAAAAGCTTTCTCTTTTTTGACTTTCCTGTTCTTTCTCAGCTGTGTATTAACATGTTAAAATTTCACATTTTGTACAGTGATGCAAGAATAGATCAAATTTCTTTGATTCTCTTGGAATTCTCTTAAAATACAGAATTTGAAAAGACTTGCTCTATTTTCTATGTAGCTTTTTTTCCTTACACTCCTAAAATGTAAGTTCTTATTTTAGCAACATTTTGAATTTAGTCCACTAATGAATCTCTCATATGTCAGTCTTTTGTTAAAATCACTTTATGAAGGATAACTATTCAAACCAAACAATTCTAAAGATCCGGTCTGAAGGTTTTTTCCTTCAAAAATTACTGGAGAAGTAATCAGCTGTTCAATACATTTTAGTATACTTTATAAAAACTGTGCAAAATGAAGGCCTGAAATTATTTTAAAATATGAACAATGCATATTGTCTGCTTTCTCATGGCAATGTGCTAAATACTCTCAACATTTCTTCCATTTGCTAATTTGCTAATAACATCTGGCTGTATTTGGCAAACCATGGCTTTCTGCATGTGTTCACTAAATACAAATGCTTCTTGTGTTCAAAGCATTTAAAATAGACATTTATTTAAATGATTGAATTTTAGTTTTAAAGAAATTGTATGAATAGTATCAAAATGTCTAGCAACTTCAACTACATGACATAAGCAGAAAATGTCAGTGTAAAGTCTGATTTTTGCTTTTGTGCTAAAAAGACTTATGACTAAACATAAATGCTGCTTATTTATTGTTGCATCTTCGTATCCATAAACACTTAGCCAATAAGGAGAATCTACACTAGCATTTACCATCTCAGAGTCATTCTAGGATTATTCACCAACTTTAATGGGCAGTGTAGATTAATGTACATGGCATGTACTTACATACTGAAGTTGATCCTGCCTCACTGATGCAGATGAAACCTATCTGCAATCAGACATAGTTTTGTTACTGTGAAGAATGGAATGTCAGACTCTTAGTATGTTTATGGTAAGTCAGGCACATGCATTGCTTTTATTGGCAGCAGATGACATTGGACAATCTCCTCCAACATTTTACTGAATCTCTGACAGTGCATGAAAGCACCAGAAGGTTAATGCAAGGTCCATAAAAGCAGCAGTAAGAGCCACTTGTGCCTAATGAATATTCACTGATACCTTTTCCACAACAATCATTGAAATTGCTGAGCAAGCGCACACTGAGGTCAGCAGAAGTTCTGCATATGTAAAAATCTTGCAAGTTAGTTTTTTATGAAGGGAATTGCCAGGGAATACCAACATGGGAAGAATTCTAGTATTTGTTGGTTTTTTTCAATAGAAAAAAAGCAGCATGTGACATGTGGCTTGCTTTTATGCTTGTCATTTCAGTACACCTAGGGTAGAAATATCCTTGTTTTTTATGAAGTATTGAAGTATTTCAGATCTTTCCAAATTCAAATTCAAACGTATGAACTCAGAATACCTAAGAAATAGGTAATGTTGAACTTAGGAGTAGAGTTTTCTTTTTAAGCAATGCGCAGAGTGAAAGATGATGGATTAAAGTGCTTTCTCTATCTGCAGCCACTGCAGCCTCTGGAGAGGAAGAGAGGCAGTTTGAGGCTTCCCAAGGATTTGCCTTAGAGATTTGGTGTGTGTTATGAGTGACAGCTTCAGTTACTGCAGCAAAGACACTAAAAAACACATAGCAAATTGAGTTTTAGGGCCCTGAAACTCTCAGCATTGTGAAAGACAAATCTATTTGCCACATTTCATGGTTTTGTTTGTTTTTTTTTCAATAAAAGGGTCTGTATGACTAATTAAAACGGCAATTATAAATTTTCATATGAATATTCTAGTCAAACTGAATCTTATTTTAGAGGAGCAGACTTTCCCTCTGCCTGACAGCACGGTCTCTCTTATACATGAAGGCATTTTTTTGTGTTGTCTAATTAATAAAATTAACATTAGTTTGGCATATATATTTTGCCTTCAGCTTGTCAATCAGAACTCTAAACTATTTTATCACCTGTTTTAGTGTCAATGTCAATTAAAAAGTCCTCAATTAATGGACTGATGGCAGGAGGAATGAGTGATTAAAAGACAAATAAGGCTGTAGAGTGGTCATGATTGTTGTATTTAGGGTTTATTTGCTTATCTATTGTTTTTTAGAAGCCTGTCAAGGTTTTGTGTTTTATGAATGACATCACTTCTGTTTCACACTGAAAGAAAAGAGTTTAATTTCTGATACCAATATTCAGCGTATTGTATGTCTAGGTTGTTACTTATCAAAAAATACATGTGACCTTTCCATCCCCTGGGATTTTTGATGGCACAAGAAAGAATTAGTGAAGAAGCAATAATTGGGATCGTGTCTTTTAATTTAGGTGCTTGTTCTGTGCATTCAGGAGTGTAGTATATTGTTGTTGCCATATTTTCTTAACAGGGTCTTGTTGAAAACATCTGTATTCACAGTTTGGGAGTATAGAACTGCTAATTATCCAGCTTTTTCAGGCTTAACTGTGATACGTGTCTGGTTGTACTAGATTTACTGAAAATGGAATAATTACAATGCTGCTTATGTATTTGGAGAGGTTTAGCATGTCTGAGACTATAAACTGCAAATGCCATGTGCTTGGTGTCAGGAGCTGTTTTGTGCATGCTGATGTTTTGTGTTTTTTTTTTTTTAAACTATTTTGAAACTGTAATTTTTATCTGCATGCTGAAAAAGATCAGTGTTGTGATTTTTTTTTTCCATGTGAAACATTTCCCTAATATTTATTGTCCTTATTGTAGGCAGGCTGTGTGACGCCTAAATCGCCCTCCACTGACATCTTTGATATGGTTCCCTTTTCTCCCATATCCCCTCAGTCATCAACACCTACTCGCAATGGTACACAGCCTCCTCCAGTACCCAGTAGATCTGCAGAGATCAGTAAGTTCTTTGACAACTGACCTAATTTTTGCTTAATCTTACTTTTTTTTTAGGAAAACATAAAACAAAAAATGAAAAACACACATGTTTTGCATGAAAAGTCAGATACAAGTTCTCTAAGTTACATTTGATAATACCATTCAATTTTAATACCATCTTCCGTAAGTCATTGATGTTGCTGCCAAGCTGCATTATAAATAAATATATTTACTTGCTGAAAATATTATTTAAACAGTTTGAAGGAGTCTGTTTGGGGAAGATAATGTGGCCTTTCTTTTGCTATATGTTTCCTGTAGTTAATTGAGGAAATATTTTTAGTTCCTTGTTTTTTCCTTGCTACAGCTGTAGCATCTAAAACCTATGTTTCTTGGGAATACAGTATGTGAATGTGGTGATGATGATACAAAAGGAAGAGCTGAAGAAATCCATCAAAATATAGTCCAATGAAATAATATTTTTAACACCATTTTTCATATCATGTACTGCTTTGTTTTTCAGTTACAGTTGATGAAATTCTGCAGATTTGTGGACCGTTCCTGAAAATCTCTGAAAGATGTTTAATAATAGCAATTTTAGTTTTCAAATGCTTAAAGGCAATTAGGATAATATTTTCAGCTTAACTGGAAAACTTTTAGGAACCCAGAGATAATTTTTGAAAGCTTTGGAAACTGCTCAGGGAGGAGGAGGAAGCGCACACACAAGCAGTGCTGGAGGTTGTAGGAACATTCCTAATATGTAGAATTTTCAGGTATGAATGCAAGCCGTGCACAGTTGTAACGATAGTGTAAAACTTGAGTTGATGAGCATCTTCCCTAGTGCCTTATGTACACAGCTTTAACTGGCCCCCCTTAAAAAAAAAAAACAAAAACCTTCAAGTTTTTTCATCAAACTGCAGATATTGCCATAAAATTGATTTCAGTGTGCATATGCAGCTTCAGAAGTAGTAACTTGGATTACAAGATGAGATTTTTGATTTTAGCTGTTGTCCTGCCTCAGTGCCATTGAAATCACTGCTAGAAATTTTGTGGGCTTACATGGAAGTCAGAGTAATTTTGAGTACTCTACTTTTCTGGTTTCTGTATATGTTTAAACACTGGGCTTTACAATACAGAAAATAATAGGGATAACTTAATCATATGCACTATTTAAAAGCGTTGTGTTTATTCTGCATTTATTGCATCTGATTTTCAATTATGATTACAGAGTTCAGAGACTAAGCAGGGCAGTGCCACATCTCAACAGCTGCCTGCTAATTCTGTGCCTTGCTTCAGAGAGAGGATTACAGAATGATATAGCAGTCTGTGTATGCTATTGAGCCATGCATTTTCAGGCTATATCACAGAATCATAGTCATTAAAGTTAGAAAAGACCTCTAAGATCATCTAGTCTAACAGTCCACCTACCACCAGTATTGCTCACTAGACCATGTCCCTAAGTGTTACATCTACCTTATCCTTAAGTGCCTCCAGGGATGGTGACTCAACCACCTCCCTGGCCAACCTTTTCTAGTACTTCACCACTCTTGCAGAGAAGAGGTTTTTCCTAATATCTTAATTTCCTAATATTCCTCCCAGCTTGGTACATTGTACATTGCAAATTATTGCATTCATCAGCTATTAACATCTTTTGATGTATTTAAAAAAGGCAGTTATGAAGTAGAACACTTTCTAATCAAACAAGTGCTTAGTGTGTTAGAAAGTTCAGATCCCTTAAAAACTTCATTCAAGCCGAGTAATTTTGCAGTACTAATAGAGTACAATAATACATTTTATATTTTATTTTTTATATGTTATTGGTGCCAGTAGAGACAGACTGGCATGTCTTTTTCCAATACAAGTCAGATGGGTGGCAACCAAAGGAGCCAAAGTGCAGTCTCGCTTTTTCTGAAGTCATCTTTTCACATTCTTCTCACTCCCTTTGCTACAACCCTTGAGAATTATAAGATAATGTTATAGTTTTTTATACTTTTATAACTTTTTATAGCTTTTATAATTGAGTTATACCTTTTGCTTTTCCCATCTCTCAGCAAATAGTTCATAATGCCTAGCACTCTAAGAAGAGTGCAGCATGGCCTTCCTTTGAAAGATAGTTATCTCCAAATCATTTGAGATTTTTTTAAAAAGTGAAAAGATTCTTGAAGTTTTCAATTCCAATTTAGCAGCACAGCAACACAAATACTCAGTAGATGTTTATGCACTACTGGATATGTCAGTAATAGTAGGATGTTCTTTTTTCTATTTTAAAGGAGAAAATTTCATGTTCTTTGGGCAGGAATTTGTAGGTTGAACAAATAAATGATGTCGCTATAGGTAATGATTACAAAAAGGGTGATTCTTTTACAAACAAAAGCCCTTTCCAGAGTTGAATTTTTACCTGAAATGTTGCAGAGAATTACTACTTTTAGAGCTGATTTTACAGTCCCTGGCTTGCAGGCTAAACATAAACATTGCAGCCCAGTATAATAATTGCTTAACTGAAAAATTGATGTACACATAGAGCAACCAAAAACGCAGTTTTGACACTATGCTGCTGCTTTCTGAGAGCATTGAGTAAGAGACTGCAAGTTCTTGTAAGTTATTGTGAAGAGAAATTAATTTGTATATTTCTTGTTGGCACAACAGTGTTGTATCTCAGAAAAGAACTGGAGAGGAACATGTTGTCAAATTACTGAAAGTTTATTTCACTTAAAGAACCTACAAAAACCCAAGGTCACAACTGGCAGGTGTAGAAATCTGCTCCGAGAGTTATCATTTCAGAATCTGTTGTAAGAATAATGATGGAACAATTTGTTATGCTGTAATAATTACAAAAAAAAAAAGTATGGAGTAGCCTGCAGCTAAGGGAAAGGCTTCCTGGCCCTCATTTCCTTAGCTTATTCCAAATATTTTCTTGGGTACTTATCTTCAATGTGATTAATTTGTATTTGTCATTATAGCTGCTCCTAGGACATTTGGGGAAAGCATATATCAGCATAACTCTGTGTCTGGATGATAGCTAATGTAAAGAAGTTTGGGATGCAAAATAAAGCAGAAATGCCAAATATTTGCAGAGTTTTGTTGGTTTAATTCTTGCTAGTTCTGAGTTCATTATGGAATGTAGACTGCTATTCTCCAGCGTTACTCATTTCTTGTCCTGAATGTCAGGTCAGCCACAGAAATAACAATTTACTATTTGTTCATGTCTTTCTGCACTTTGAGTTACAGATGTAAAGCATCACTATTTTATGATTTTCAATTTGTTCATTGGTTTCCCAAGCAGTGAGTTTATTTTCCACCAGTAAGGAAAGGAATTTTCCAGAAGGAGGGAATGGAAATTATATGTGTTGCTCAAAGGGATTGCTTTCAAAGGTTTACCAGTTTGTACTGGAGAAAGAAATGCCCATCTACACTACAGGTATTTTGGAGAGTGTGCCAAGCAAGCTACTATTGTTATATTTAACGTAATTTCTTGCTAGTACTTCAGCATGAAATAAAACATTGCTGATTTGTGTTGTTTCTGCTAAAATGGAGCTAAAAAGTGAACAGTAAACACCAGCAGCAAAGGTTATGGAAATGCCATGCAACAGTGGAGCTTTGCAGTGGATAAATTTCATCCAGTTTCCACTTATTCATCTTTTGTTTCAAAGAGAAATACTGATTGAATGTATTTCATGGTACTCTGACTCAGCAATGCAATCTCTCTGACAACACACAAACTTAAAATGCAGAAAAGCAGCGAGCCTGTTGTCTTATGGACTTTCACAGCCATTTCATTGAAATGGATATCAAATTGTAATATAGATGGTTTCCCAAAGCATTTAAGGGAAATTCAGCTAGGAAATAACTATTTTTAAAATTTGATTCCATACGGGACTTAGTAGCTCCATCACTGATAAGTTCTTCTCTGTTTAATTTTAAAGTCTGCCTTGAATAACAATTTGAATGAAATTACCTTTGACATGAAGATATGTTCCACTGAAGGAGTTAAAGCTTCTACCATTCTCCTTTTAATTAGCTCAATACTGTCATAAATAAGTGTAATACTTAGGCATTAATAAAATGTCCAGAGTAATGTTCATAATACTTGCTTTCAAAAATAGTGATGTAATTACAGTACTTGGAAAAGAAAGAACTGTTTTATTTACTGTTCTTTCATAAATACATTCCTTGAATGTTTGCAAAGGCCTGGTATCGAAACTGGCTGCTTTAAGCTATCTGACCGCATAGAAAACTGTCAGCTCTTTGTGATTCTGTGATTCCCTTTTTAGAGTAAAAAGAACTTACGAAGAAGAGGAAAAAAGAGAAGAAAAAAATAAAGAAATGGACCTAGATAATGAGCAAATAAACTTAGGAGGGACATAAAACATAATCATTTTTTCCCCAAAAAGGTCAGATTGCAACTTGCTGCACATCTGAAGATCACTGAGTAGGAGTATAAGAACATGTAAAGATGCTGGTAGTACTTACTGTACTTGAGCAGGCCCGTTTTGGCTGTGAGAGAGGCAAGGGATGAGGTTGATTATAATTTTTCCATTGGGTTATTTTTGTTGATGTCTCTTTTACATAGGGTAGTCTGCCTCTGCCGGGAAAGACTAGATTATTTTTTTTTTTGCTTAAGTGGGCTTTTGGAATGAGGTTCTCAGATCTGGGCCATCCCTTGTTCCTATGTGGTAGTCTAAGGCTGTTAAGCCATGGCTTAAATATGTGATTGAAATGTGTAATTACTCCAGTTCCTGCTTGTTCTTGTACAATATTATGGGAACATAATATTCTAATTATTTAAGATACATGCTGTGCAATGCAGTGTGGTAACATCAAATATCATGTCAAAATCCATGGAAACGTATTTGCACAATAGAATGTTGAGGAGTCTAGACAGGTACAGGCCTAGAATGTGGACTCTATAAATGATGAAATAAAGACTTTTAGCTATATTAACACTCTTCAGCCCTCCTAATGTGGCGGAACAACATAGATTTAATGTCAGGTTGTCAATTGTCAGCTTGAATATCTTGTATGTTAAGAGTAAAATCCAGAGCTAAAACAGAAAAAGATACTAATTTCAAAGATATTAAGGGTGTTTTTTCCTACTCACTTATGAATCCAATGTGATTTTGAGTTAGGCAGTCTGATTACCAGGTTTCGTTCTGGACAACTGTGAAGGTTAGGAAGTTTAATATTCTCTTCAGCAACTACGAGACTGTGTTTTATGAGTGTTGCCATCAGTGTGGTTGGACTGTGTTAGCAGAATGTTTCATGCTAGTTTCAGTCACAGTACAGTATGGGAAAGAACATGTCTGTATAGATGGCACTCTATCACATAGAGAGAAATATTCCCGTTACTGAGAAGTAAAAATATCTGGGCTGTTGGATGTGAGGATGAACTAGCCTTACGCAGTTCCAGTAAGGGAAAAAAAAAATTCTTGGAGGTGTTTCAAAAAAGAAACACACAAATACAAAAAACACCTCAGCAGTGAAAGGGATCCTGCTTTTATAAGTGAGAAACCATATGACATGACAGAGGAAAAAAAAAATGCAGTCATTGCATTTATGGATCCAGTTTTAGTGAAATTTTAGGGCAAGCAGTATGTCATGGTCTTCTGTGTTTTCTTTTATTCTTCCTTGACTGTTCTTTGGTTGAGTATTACAACTCTACTAATTAGTTTTATTAACTACTAACAGTGCACTGAGGAACTCTATCAAATGCAGAACTGAAATTCCGTGAGTAAGGGTAATTTACAGAAGTCCTTAACCTGATGGTCAGAAGTGGCAGGTATGAAGAGATATGAAGGCTAATTTGTTTGTGAGAATTTGCTTCTGACATAATGAAATTTGGCAGTTGACATCCAGCTGTTCCATCTTCATTTATGAAATATTCAGAACTCTGATTCCAAAAGGCACTTCAGTAGGAGCTCCCTTATTCAGACTGGAATTTCTTCTCCTCAGGTCCCTAAAATTCCTCTAGAAAGCACAACCATTTAATGAAAGGTCCATAAAGGCTTAAACAGAAGTTGTTGGCATTATTGGAAAAATTGAGTATCTGGTCTTCAAAAACTAATCAAGACCTGATTTTTGAATTTGAATGTTTAAAAATTGCATTTAATCATCTTCATATCTGAAGGTGCTGTTATTCAGCTTGTAACATGTAAGCTGAGTTTTTCAAGAGCTGTTGTCATAGCTCATGCCTTTTCCCTCAGTGACTCATTTTTCTCTTTTTCCAGAGAGAGACCTTTTTGGAGCAGAACCTTTTGACCCTTTTAGCTGTGGAGCAGGAGATTTCCCTCCAGACATTCAATCCAAGCTAGATGAGATGCAGGTAACCATTGCATTTTCAATTATGCAGTTTCCTGTGGATGCGTGAATATTATTGAAATAAATTTTTACAGTGATTTTAAGACGTATTCCAGACTGTACACTCATAGATACATAGGGGAGGGGGGAAAAAATGTAAAAGGAAGACAACCAATATTCTTGTACTCATGGGGAATTGGTATTTATCAGCCTGAAAATCTTCAAAGATGTTATCACAGGGTAATAATCGGACAGACACCTGAAATTATTTAAGGCTTATCAGCGCTGTAAGCAAAATGGACACTGCTCTTTACTGGGAAGGGACTGAGCAAGTTTGAAAAAGAGCTGTTGTTAGAGGCCTACATATGCATTGACCTTTGTTATTCCTCAGAAATTTTCTGCTGCCTCTATAGTCATACCTGACTATTGCATTTGGGGGCCACAGATTATTGAGAACTGATTCAAGAACTCAGGTATTTTTTCATCAGGAAATGTTTGTTGATTTTGAAATACTCTATGCTATCTGTTTAGATGTTGATTTCAATTTGAAGCAGTTCTAGGAGAAAGACTTCAAATTGTGGGCTAGGTCTCAAACTTTGCCAACTGCCAATTCCTTGCCAGCTTGCTTATCTGTTTTTTCACAGCAGCCTGCCAGCAATGACGGTGTCTTGTCAAAATTTTATATAGTTAGGCTATGACTTCTATGTGCTATCATGTTACGAAGCATCAAGAAATGGTTTGGTAGACATCTTTATCAAAGATTTTTGATAAGTCATGAAATGGAGAACTCAACATCAATTTCTACTCTGACACAAGACAAAACAAGCTAATCTTTATGTATTGCTGTGTTATGTTGCAAATAATATTTCATTAGTTAAGTCTAATAAGTCTGCTGTGTTGTGCGCATACATATTTTATTCTTTTATTTGATCAGTAAATGTGTGTCACATAGAACCCAGCATACCTTGACACCCTGACTGAAAATTTATTGTGTTGATGTAAAAGTTGTTCACGTTTAATTCAGCTAAGTCAAGTGCAAAACTGACAGGATGTGGAAAAAAATTCACTTCTGACTTGGACAAAGCAAAAGCTACATGAAGTTACTTTTCTATGACATTCTTCTATCGTTTTAGATTAGGGTTACATTTAGTTGCCATATAAAGTTCTTTCTGTAGGTTGTATGAATCAGTGCTGCAAAATACAAATTGAAAAATGTTTTCTCCTTATCTCTTTTATCTTCTTATGCTTTCCTGGGTGCCTAGCGTCAGCGATGGTTGGTATATCATATTTTAATAATGGTATTTACAGCATTTATAACTGAAATGTATATATGCTCATGTCTGGTGTTTTTGTTCTTTAATTTTATTTATAAATGTTTTGTATTTTCATACAAATGTAGATATATAAAAAAAGATTTAAGATTTGTATTTTATATACACAATTCTGTATGTCAGGGCCATTCGCGTTTTTAGAAGCGTACAATTTTTAAGGTGAGGATAGCTGAATTGAAACTTCTTTTATGTGTTTGATCATCTGATATTACAACTCTTTTTCCTTGTGTGATACTGAAATGTCCAGTGCTGTTCTTTGGATGGCCATGAATGAAATGGTCTATGTAAAACCTTTTTGTTACATAGATTTTTATACTAGTACAGCCATCTATGTAAATGTGCTTTCAATTGGAGATAATTCAAAACTTAAAATGAGTCAAAGATGCTAGAGATCATTTGTTGCTAGAAACAGCCTACAAGAGGAAAGGTGAAATGCCTGCCACAAAAGGTCAAACAACAAAGCATGTGATGTCCTCTAAGAAATCTAAAATTCAGAAAAAGTTAAGAATAATGTCAGCTGCTTTCACAGAATGGCCAGGGTTGGAAGGGACCTCAAGGATCATGAATCTCCAACCCCCCTGCCACAGGCAGGGCCACCGACCTCCCCATTTAATACTAGGCCAGGCTGCCCAGGGCCCCATCCAGTCTGGCCTTGAACACCTCCAGGGACGGGGCATCCACAGCCTCTCTGGGCAGCCTGTTCAGTACCTCACCACTCTCTCTGTAAAGAACTTTCCCTTGACATCCAACCTAAATCTTCCCTCCCTCAACTTAAAATCACTTTCCCTTGTTCTGCAGTTATCTATCCTTTCAAAGAGTTGATTCCCCTCCTGTTTGCAGGCTCCCTTTAGGTACTGAAAGGCTGCAATGAGGTCACCCCACAGCCTTCTTTTCTCCAGGCTGAATTTCATTCCTTCACTGGAATGAATTCAAAGTTAAGGGAGCTGTTGTCTTGTTGTTTTCATAGCCTTTGCTTTTTCAAAGTACGGCCTGCATTTCCATGAATATATATTTCAATTAATATACAAAGGTCAGCATCTAATAGTGCAGGATATTATATATACTATACTACAATATATTGTTAAATTCAGCTTAACCCACACTCAGAGAGGCCAACAAGCGACCTCAGAACCAACCAGTGGCAGATTACCTGGAAGAGCTCAGGCCAGTCCTTAACCCAGTCTCAGCAAGCATGCCCTAGTCTGCAGAAAAGCTGTCTTAGAGAACATGTGTGTTGGAAAAGGATGTGCAAGCAAAGTGGGAGAAGAAAGCACAGCAGAACTGAAGAGGCACTGGGGATAAACTCTTTAAGCAGCAGGTGCTTTTCCTTTGCATATGATATTCTGAACTTAATGCAATCAGATCAAGTTCCTCAACCTCTGGGGGAATAGTTTTACGTTTAAACTTCAGGGAGGATCCAGAATTCTTTCTATTTCTTAGTCCAACCTCGGCTGATCTTCTTGGAGTGCTCAAAACTCAAGCATGTGTTGAGATCCTAGTTTTTTAGCACAGACATCTCTTTGAAGACTCTCCAACCTCCCATTTCCTCCACCCTTATGCTGAAACATATTTTCATCCTTTCTATTTTGACTGCATCCAAACATTATTAAAATGAATCTATTTTCCCAGAAATCTTGGAGTGAGGTGAAGTTTCCTTGGATCTTGAATCATACTAGCAACAGCTGCTATGATTTATTAAAATCTCAAGGTAGTTAATATTATAAAATCTGCATGATCTGGAGACCATTCTCCCTGCATAGCCCAGCGTAGTCAGGAGGCTTGTCTAATTTCCATCCGAAATAAGTTATGCTCAGCCCTCTAAATTATCTTTTCAATACATGTTGATTTATCATTGGTTCACTGAGTTTGTGCTGACTTAAGGTCATTGAGTGAAGTCAGGTGGTGAAGGGATAAATAATCTAACCTCAGAAAGAGCCATATGGGTTGACTTTGGCAGATTTACCTTGTGATAAAATTGAAATAGTTTGTGTTTTACTGCTTGTTGTTTTTAAATGGAATAGTAAAAAAAAGAAAGAAAAAAATAACTGGGAATTTTGGAAGATGGGTTGTTTTCAGATTACTTTTCGTATTGGAAATAAGCGCTGCTGCATCTCTAGGAGACCCATCACATGTTAGTGGAATATTGTTGTTTTTCTGTGTAACTAAGATGTTCACTGCTTGTGTTAAGTCATCTTGGAAGTAAAAAAGCGCTGTCATGTAGATATGAGCACGTAAGCAAAGCACAGTGTAGGTGTACATTTTATAGTTCCATTTCCTGTCCAGTATCAGGGATGGTCTTTGTCTGCATTCCTTCAAGATCAGCCAATTTGAGATATTTTCTGACCAAATGTTACTGTTTCCCAAGCCCTGACAGTACAAAAAGCTGTGATGCATGTGGTTTATAATGAAAGAGCAATGTGTTATACTAAGAACGCATTGTGAAAACTTGAAATGTTTGAATTTAATATTTAAAACACTCAGTATTAAAATTGATTGTACATAGCATGTAATGTATACCAAGTACTGACCATATGTCATTTTTAAGAGAAAAATTTTTGCCTAATACATTAATCCAGTTCAATAGAAAAGGACAAAAATAAAGTGTAAGTTATAATTACTCAGCTATTCCAACTGACATCATTATTATTACAGCTGTGAATGCTGGGTTTTGGAGTGGAGGGTAGAAGGTAGGCATATGCTGGATATCATAATAAACATACAGCAGCTTCAAGCAGGAACCATCAGAAGTGTATAGAGGAAGTGTAACCGTGAAAGCTGACGTAAGGCTGTAGGCATTCTGTTATGTTCTCTTACCTGCCTTAATCACATTTCAGCTGTGCCTGGACGTAAATGAAAATCTTTTCATAAAAACTTGTTGTCTTGTAGCTTGGCTGACAACAGCTGATTGGATAATTATATTATCGTGCATTTTCTGAAGTATAGGTTTGCAGATTCCAGAAGTATTGAAGAATTTGGAGCTAGCTGGCAAAAACTGTGGGGCTGGAATGGAGATGGCTGTGGGAGATCTGAAGTTTGTGCTTTCTTAATCTGAAGGAATTTGATTGCATTTCCTTTGCCTTTCTCTGCTGGAATAGCATGTTTTGAAGTTTTCCCTTTTTGAATGCCACATTTAATGGGAAGTCTTTGAGTATCTTGGTTTATAATCCTGTGACTTCTTTTCCTCTACCTTAAATAATAATAATAATAAAAATAATAAATAAAAATAATAATCTGGATTCTTTTAAATTCTGAAAAATGCTCTGACGGCTCTCCAGATTGCCCTGATGTCCTGCTTGTGGGTTTTTTGACCCTGTGGTTGCCATGAAAAGATGGACCTGCTAGTTACTGTTGAATCTCACCCTGTGAGTTTTGTGTGACATATAATAGGTGAATATCATACACATCCACTCTGGTCGCATAACAGTGAGATGAGCGCACGTACAAAAAGTGCAGATCTGATTTGCTCCTGGCTGGCCAGAAAAACCTCACCGGACATATAGCTATGTTAAACATTACAAAGCAGTTCTGAAATGTATAAAGGAAAGATAGGAGTGTGCAGAACACGAACAGGATGTGTGCTGGGTTGTAGGACTGGCAGAGATTTGAAAGGGCTCCCAGCAGAGATACAAATCAAGTCGTGTCCTTGTTAGACGAGTTGCCACAGATTTTCTACTATTATAGCTGCATCAAGAATCCTCAGGTTGAAGCATAAACTATCCCTTTTACTGCCTCAAAACTGGCAGCTGCTTCTAAACGCTTAAAAATATTAGAGTTTCAGACACACTGGAACTGAGAAGTTTATGATTCAGCAGATTGAACTGTCTAGCTAATCCTAGGGCTGGTGCTCCTGTGTAAGCAGTTGCCTTCTGACTGCTGTTACATCAAGAAACTGCATCCTTTGGGTAAATAACCAACGTCTCATTTATGACAGAATGCTGGCTTGGAACTTCACAGTCTATTTGCTTGAAATATCTTTTGCTCTGAATGCTCCTCCTGTTAGCTTGTTGAAAAGTACAGAAGGGAGGGTGGAAAAAAAGTCAAATATGCCAGTGAGCATTGTCAACATCATGTCACCCAGGTAAGACAAACCTGGCAGCACAACTGGAGAAGGCTTACAGCCTGGTAACACTACTGGCTCACTAACTCATAGTATGAATGTTAGGAAAACGCAGACTTTGCCTGAAAAATCTCAGACCATTTAGTAATCATCTCTGGGAAGTGTATTGAATTTTTCAGCATTGCAGATGGCACTTTCTGATGGGTTTATTAAATATTCAGACTCTTTAAACCTAGCCTGGGGGTTACATTTGTTTGAAATGAAGCTGTTTTGACTTGTGAATGATCTTTTAAAGCCAAAAGGTATACTCCTGAGGTACTCCTATGCATTATGAGAAGTCTTGAGTTTCTGTCGAGTCCCAGTGCAGGCTGCCTTACAAGAAGATTTAGTTTGATTACGAGATGCTTGCTTTATAAAAGCACATAGTATTGATTTCATAGCACGTAACCAATGTTCTTCAAGTGACTTGGAGGCTCCGAGAGTACAGGGCTGAGCAGTGTGACAGGTGCCACTGGAGTTGATGTTCTTGTGGCATTTCTATTCAGTGCCCTTGTTTCCAGCTGCTTACAGCTTGACAATACCTTTGCCAAACAGACTGAATGTTTCTGGATTCAAAGGTGACTTTTATTCTGACAGTCAGACCATAAATGTGTACTTGTAGAAATGATTCTTTTCAATGCAGAGAGCAGGAGCATATAGCTTATAGTAGTGTTTCTACCAATAAAATATGAGAAATTTTGAGTTTAACTCCTTAAGAGTTTATTTGCTCCTTCCAAAACATTGTATTTGGATACTGCTGAGTGTTTCATGCATTCAAAATTCATCCTTCAATCATTCACAATGAAACAGGTATGATTCTATTTGCCTTGTGGTGAAGCACAGATAGCCATAGGCTGTAAAGCATAACACCTCTCAGTGTAACTGCACAGTGAATGACTCAGAACAAACCTCTGAGATTTTGTTGGGTACCACTACATTTATTATTAGACTACTACTAATATAAGGGATTGCTGAATGTACAAGACATCTGGTATTAATAGCAGTGTCCATGACTTACATCTCTTTAAAGTGTAAATATAACAAACCTTTTTTCTCACACAGCAATCTGATCTTTCCTGCTTATAAATTGTGTTGAATTTTGCTCACGTTCAATATTATTCAAGTGAAACTTGTTTGTTTTTCTATCAATTTATGTATACAAATAGTCAATATTTTTATTCTAATACTACTTAATGTACACACAGTATTTCTTAGACTGAAGTCCTTTTGTAAGTTATTGGTTAAGAGAAAGTTAAGAAAACTGACTGACCAGATAGCGTAAATGTGAATTACCCTGTGAACCATCCTCTAGAACAGTGTTAGCTAATTACCTTGAAGTTAAGCTAGAAATAAGCTGGAATTTAGATATTTATAGAGAAAATGATCCTCTAGGAATTGCTTTCTCTTTTATTAACAATGTCTTGTTTCATTGCAGGAGGGGTTCAAAATGGGATTAACTCTTGAAGGCACAGTATTTTGTCTTGACCCACTAGACAGCAGATGCTGATGCCAAGAAACTAAATGTGAAATTCTTACACAGTGTTTTTTAATTCTGAACATGTATTCACAAATATTATCCATGTGCCAAAATATGCTTTTTTTCAACATGTGAACTCGTATGAGGTTTGCTTCTGTAAAAAAAAAAAAAAAAAAAAAAACAAAAACAAAAACAAAAACAAAACAGTCTTTCCCTGTACAAATGTATAAAGTTGTATTTGTTTATGAAATATGAGTTAAATTACACTGTTGTTTCTTTCCCTCGCACTTTGGCCCAAGTTTACTACTCTTTACTACTATTTGCCTGGAAATGTTCTTCAGAAAGCTCACACGTACCTCTCTGCAGAGATGCAAGCATGATTTTCATGTAATGCTTTACTTGGTGGCAGCATTTTGAAAGGAAGCTTTTAAACCATTATTTAAAGTTCCATCTGTAATTAATTGCAGTTGCAATGAAAAAACAGAAAATATTAACCATTAATATATGCTTAAAAAGTTGGTATGCTGTGTAATTAATTTCTATTACTGTGTACAGTTATTACACTGTATATCTGTTGTTAGTTTATAAAATCCGGAAGATTTTTAGGTCATTAAATCACATTTTAGAAGCCATCAAATAGTCTGTTACTTAGCGTTTAATAGCATAGAAGATCTGCTAAATTGCAGAAATGACGAAGTACCTACTGTCTGTTTTATTTTATAGCTGAACAGTAAAGTGTACCATTTGGAATTCATTACAAAACAAAAATCATAATGAAAATTTGAACATAAGACCATGACTTTGCTTTTACTGATGGATTTATGTAGTTTTGTGCACAGGCAGGCACTCTTTGCAGAGGTTCATTTCTGTGAGCTACTTTCAGCACCTGAGTGTTCAGTTGGGCTGTTGAGTATTGTTTTCATAGTCTCCTTTGATGTTCTATGTCTTAATATAAGTTTGAAGCTTGCTGCAAGGTTTCGGTATGTTAGTAAGTCCTTCATACTCACTCGTTTTTCATGTTACACAAGCAACTGCACACCAAAACTTTCAGCTGCTAATGAGTTTAATGCTGACCTTTCTATGCATACTCTTCACTAACCTTCAGCACAAGCAATAAAATAATATCTGGAGCTTATCTCAGAAAAGGATGATAATTACTCTTTCAATGACCAAACCCCACGTTTGTTCAATTTAATTTTCTTAACAACTCTATTATTCTCCCCTTTAAACATAAAGATGTTGATGAAAATAAAAAATAAACTGAGAGCTGGATATTTTTTCTTGTTTTCCAGAGAGGCTTTTTGTGACACTTATGGTTTTGTCCTCAAGGTTTACAGTTTACACAAAAATGTATTTTGCAAATTCGTTAAAGTATGTATATTTTTAAACCCCCTTCAACAAAATCCTTCAGAAGTCTGCTGAAATGATGTTATTCCTTTGAGTTTGACTCATGCTCATATACCCTGCTGAACTGGGACGCCAACGTTCTGCATTGCATTAGTCTTCCTCTCTATAATTCTTCATTGAATATTCATATAGAGTATCATATATATTAAAATATATATATCTATAAAATCACTAACAAATAGAATAGTATGTTTCATAAAGAAAAGTCTTTATAATTTTGTTTGTCATATAGTATTTTGAAATTTGTATAATGAGGATGTTTAGTAGCCATAGTAATGGCCTTTTTTTAACAAATAGAATTTGTATTTTTATTGTACTTTAAAAAGCTTTACATAATAAGCATATATTTAGCGGTCATTTATTATCGATCATAACACCAAAATAAATAATATTTGCACATTTTAAGAAATGTTTTTCTTTACTGATTTTTATGATAGTTGACTGCAAATGGCATGATTACATATTGCATAACTGGTCAATCCATACAAAAATACTTAAAGCACGACATTTTTAATGAAAAGGTTGTGTGATCCAATTGGAAACTGTATTTCTATGTAAATTCAAATGTCTGTTTAATTTTGCCTAAAATAAATGTTTTTAAATAAATTGCATCCTGGAACACAGTGTTCATTCAGTTGCATGCTCACTGGATGGGAGGGAGTGGAGGTGCATAAATGTCAGAAGAGCTGCTGTGAAGAATGCTTTGGAGTCACTTCACATGGTGGTGTCAGCAGATACCAGATGTCAGCCACTGTAAAAGTACATCCCATTTTTTGTCCTTTTTTGTTACTGAGTTTGGCCTGAGCTGTAATCAGGAGAGAGAAATTTGTTCTATATGCAGCTATCTAGTATTAGTAACATAGAAATGTTGATTCCTCTTGCTTTCCACAGTACTTCATGGATTTAATGGACTTTTTATATTGCTTTTTTTTTTTCCTGTTATACTTAGCTCTTATGCTATACTTAAGCATACCTGGATAGTAAACGACCTTAATGGCTAATTAAGGAATACAGAAGGCAACCTCTGTAGGATCCACCAGTGTTAATGGGGTGGGCTGCAGAACATGGTGTTGATGCTTCTGAGAAAACTAATCTTAAGCTTTCTCTTAATTGCTTCTTTTTCAAAAACTCTCATCAATCTAATACTCCAAATCTATTTAATTTCTTGCAGAAGTGGGGCTTGGACAGTTTATGGGACTGGACACTGTCAGGGATAGCAAGAAAGGGGTATGTGTATTCTGCTATGAGTTATAATAAACACAAGCTGCTCTTCTTTCTTAGAATTTGTATCAGTGTTCCAACTAGTATTGGTGGTTTTTTTTTTTACAGATATTGCAATAGTATTGTGAGCTAAATTTTCAGGCTATTAGTGTAAATACATATCTTTGAGACCAGTACAAGGAGTGTGGATAATTGCTCTTATTTTCTTTAGATTAAATAGGAGTTCTCTCATTGCTTAGAAGAGCTTTGTCTTCGGAAGCTCTCTTCAGTTATCTTTTAAAAGCACAGCCTGGTGGCCTGCTGATGAGAACATGAAGTGCTTCTACTAACTGTGAACTTGGGTATGTCACTTAACAGAAGACTTCTATGTTCAAGCCTGAAAAAGGCAGCAGTATCATCTGTAAGGTTAGAAATATGCTAAGGGAGTGCTAGTGCTATAAGGAGTGCTAAGGGAGTAGTGAAAAACAAATTTTTGGTGTTGTGAATTTAGCCTAAAAAAATACTGAATTTGGGTACTATCAGATTTGTGCTACTGCACTTTCTGCTTTTGAATATCTTTTCTTTTTCAAATTTCTTTCAACTCTGTTAACATTGCTGACCAGGTTATAACATCACATTCTGTTGTGTAGTGCTGCACTTTTCTTTCCCCACTATACTGATACATATTCCCTAAGCTATATTAACAGCTAGAAAAAAGATTCCTCCCTTTCTATTCTTTCGTGTTAAATTGACTTTTTTTCTTTTCTCTTCCTACATGCTTATCGCACCACCACAAGAGTAAATGTGTTGCGTAGGTCAAATTACTTCTTAAACCAAATAAGCTCATATGTGATCGACTTGTGTGTTCTTTAGCACATGGTAAGTTAGTGAGCATCGCTGCGGGATGCTCTTAGCTTAACCCCTTGCTTTTACTTCAGCTAGATCAGTTTTAAGTGGCTCTCTTTTGTCTCTCCACGTGACAGATTGATCAGGTCATTCAAATTGGCAAAGATAAATCCTTCATGTGGCAAAAAGAGTTGTATTTTATTTTGGCTTCCCTTATGGAAAGAAGGAAAGGAAAAAGACGGTGCCCAAAGTCTTCTCACACTTCTAGAGGTAAGTGTGGCTGTGTAAGTGATTGAACTTGCCAAGAAATTGAGCTGATTCTGAGACTTCATTATGATGATTATTTTTCAATTTGTTGCATTAAGCATGGCCTCACTCTCACAGAGCAGTTCTGCTTCACAAAAAGAGTCTCTTGTGCAAAGGAGGAGTGTGCAACTGCTTGAGAGATCTCTATCCAGAGACTCAGTTTTCATTATATCCTGCTGGTCACTAAGTTTGTCACCTTTTGGACACTCTCTTAAGAAATATTATTAATGACTATATTATTAATGACTATAAAGATGAACTCTTTTCTTAATTTAGCACTTTGGGCTTCTGTTACTGCTTTTTAAGATAGAGAATGCAGATGTCATTTAGAAAATTTTAAAAAATAAAATGAAAAAGCTGAATAATTGATCAGACATGAAAAAATAATCTAAGGTCCTGCAACTTATTCTGTAAGATTTAGCAAAAAGACAAAGTAAGTAAAGCTAACGAGTAAGCTTCAGCTCCTGATTACCCTCCATTTTTTTCTCCGTTCTTAAGACATATACTTAAAGAGAATGAGATGTGTTGCATTGTCAACTGGTGAAAATGTGTAGCACTTCTCATCAACACAGTAGAGAACAGAAATCTCTCTCTTGTCTGATTATTTGATGTTGATGGGGAACTTTTTGTTTGAAGTAAGGCCTAACATTTATAATACCTGCATCATTCTTGAGACACTTCAATATTCAGTGTCAGTACAGAGATTAAACAAACTGCATGTTTATTCATCAGATCAAAACTTCTGGGAACTTAAAACATTTTCAGTGGATTTCATGGACTGCATAACAATTTTATTGTGGTGCATAAAGGTTTCTGAACATATGAATGTGCAGTTTACCATGTGTGTTTGAGAAAAATCTTGGGAGTCTAATTTATAAATAGTCTGGGCTAAAAAAACTTGAAAGCTTAGTCTCACAGAGTGAGTTTTGGAATTCTAATGCTCATATGAATGGCAGCAACTAGAATCTCTGCATTCAAGGTTTTGAGCTCAATTTTTTCAAATTTTCCACTATTTAGTTCAGCAAAGCTTTATCCCTTGTCATGAAGAGCACAAAGGAGTAGAAAAGAAGCACAGCAGAAAGTTAAAGAGGGAAAAGATGCCATATTGTGCAGTTTAGTAACTTTTTTTTGTGAAACTTAATTGATTTAATAACATCTCTTTTTCTGCCACATCAGCATTTATGACTAACTCAGGATTACACAAGGGCCAGCAGCCAGCAGATTTGACACATTTGCAGTCCACAAGAACAGGTAGACCTATGTGAGCTAAACTCCTTATTTATCTCCTTATATTAAAAGAATTTGCCCCAAACAGGATTCTTAGAATAGAACCTGAAGGTTTTTCATGTCATTTTCTTTGCAGTTTCTTGCCACCCCAGGCTTTTCTGAAGAAGTACTCAGAAAGTCTACTAAACAGAGTCTTCATAATGGCTCCTTGGTGCTCTACCACAAATGGTATTTAAATACTTCCAAGTTTTATTTTATATAAAGGTTGAAGGTGGTAGTATTATAGGGTTGAAGAGCAGTTCTGAGCTTCAAAGCAAAAGACTCTGAGGCAGTATTAATTTGGTGTAAGGGAGGAGCATGAAGGTAGTCTGTTAGGATGGGAATATTTCACTGAAAGCCAAGCATTATCTTGGAATTTCTACTAGTTCACTTTCCAAAATATTACTGTGCATTTTAAATGTATTTATGCAATATTTTTTGGTTTCTTTATTTTTTTTTCAAATAGTACTAATATTTCATAGTGGAAGAGAGCTGCTATTAGAATAAGATGTCCTGGTATTTTAAGAATGAAGAAGTACGTACCAATGGCCATGCTCCCTGTGTTCTTACAACCGTGCATGGGTTATGATACTATGAAGAAGCCAGAGCAGTTCTTAATTTCACAGTGACTTGAAGTGACTTCAGTTGAAATTTGTGGCAGTTAAGTGTGAGATGCACATTAAGGAAAAAAAAAAAAGTTTTATGAGATGAGTGGGAATTAATTAGAATATGAATTATGTCTCTGTTTACGTTTAGCTATGGCCTGTTCCCAAGTTAAGCAACATTTATGTAGTATTAATTGTGGATCAGACATACTGCTTCTGAGAAGCAAACAGGTGTCCCTTGATGTTTGCAGGTTATCAAAAGCAATGCCTAATTATCAGACATTTTAAACTTCCATTTCCACACTGAGCGCCTGTTTTCTCATCTTTAAGGACATTAAATCTATACTTCAGGGTGTTTAAGTATTGTTAGGATTTATTGTCTATTAGTATCTATAGATTGCCATAATATTGAATGCATACTGAAGAGTAATCTAAGAAGATTAGTCATTAGTCAAAGCTGTAATCTTGTGCCGTCAAAATCGAATGCTGTCATAACATCACAAGGATTGATGTATAAAACTGAAATAATCAAACCAACTACACCATTTTATTATTTAAAGGCCTTCAAAGACATTGGTATTTTGTAAGAACTAAATGTGATTAAAAAGAAGTACGTGACTAGAGTTCACTAAGTAAACAAGATAAACTACATCTTGGCACTATAATAAATAAATCAGTAAGATCACTAAAGCCACATGAGTTGTATGGCCAAAATTAATAGACATGAAACTTAGGAAACAGATTTCTTTCTTAGGACCACAGATGTAGTCTCTCACAGACCTGCCTGGTTGAATGCCAAGGATTTGAATGCCAAAGAGGAAAAAATCCCAAGCAATACTGTAAGGAATACTTGACTCTGATCCAGCATTTTGCTGCAGATAAGTTTATACTAAGGTTGAGCTAGAAACACAATCATTCCAAGCAATAATTCAGACTGCATATTGAGGCAGTTCAGCCATTTGTAAAAGGCATTCTCCACTGAAAAAGTGTAAAAGAATGTTATCAGTATTATGATTTCTGCAGTCTGATTTTAACACATGCATGTCAGGATCATCCTGATTCTTGGTGTTTGTAAGCACTTCATGGTCACAAAAGACAATGGAAAGCAATGAGAAAGCTTCATACAGATAAACTATCAACAGGAAAACCTGATTTACATGACAACAGATACTCCAGTAGACACTCATATGATGTTTGACTGGTCTGAAAAGATTATAAATTTTGGAGCATTTTTCAAGTCACAGATGATGAGCAGTATTTATCGTGTACCTAAACACTACAATGCCATTGTGTTATTGATTTTATTTTCAGTGAAAAAAAACAAACTGTGGACAAACTGAACATTTACAATATCTAAGGTAACATTTTCTTATTGATTCATTCACCTGAGAGTTGAAAAGCGAATTTCTGTTGCTATACCCCATGGCTGCATGGTGCAGAATGCAGATAGTAGTGCACAAGTGAGCTTACCAGTACATTTCTACAAAGGTTGATGCCTTCAAATACCCCTGAGTTAGGAGGAGAATTTGAGAAGGTGAAACGTGAATGTGCTTCATGCACTGCAACTTGTAGACAAGGATAGAGATGATCAGAGCTAGCACTGTATGAAGAAATGTCAGATCATTCCAAATCAGGATTTCAAGCACAATACATGTAACTGCAGGCAGATATTGAAGGCATTGCAGATACAGCCCCCCTCTGACTTGTTATAAAGCAGAGAACAATCAAAATTCCCTTTTTTCTCAGTTCATGGAAAACACTATCTTTGGATACATTCCTGCAGAATTTAGATTAATCAAGAATACATTCTGACTTACCATATGTAATTAAAAAGCAAAAAGCTAGGAAAAGGGAGAGTTTAATGGTATCCATGAAATATGTATTCCCTCTGTTTCATAAATGCAAATTTTTGAAAATTGAACAGTTCTGTATGCATAGGATGTTCTATCTTCTATGTTTCTTTTTATTTATTTTTCCCACAATTCCGTTTTTCTTAGAGAACTTTTTGAGAATGTGTGAAGTTTGCAGACTCTATATTTCAATTTTAAGACTACAAATAATGGCAAACACCTTTCTTAAAACCTAAAACCCAGTCTTTTTCCTGAGGATCACAAGTTGCACGTTGATGTCTCTAGGGGTTAGCAAGCCTACCAAAGAAAGCTGGAAAAAAATATTGTGGTTGGCCCCAAGAACTGTGCTGACTTCCAGGAATGATAAATCCGTTTGTAATCTACAGCTCCATGTGTTCTTGTAGTTGTACTTTTTTTCCACACCATATGAAACAGCATCACTCAGCTTGAGCATTGCCTGAGACTGCTCCAATATTACATGCTTGGATGGTAGTCCTTGCAGCGGCTCTCCAGGAGAATGCAATTTTAAGCACAAACAAATGAAGAGTTTGAACCCAATTAGGTGCAAACATACAGAGAATCAAGTTGTGTATGTACTGAGAGCTATGGAAAGACAGGGAGAAGTCCAATTTTTTGAAGTTTTCCAAACTCCTTGAAGATCTTGCTCACCTATTTTTCTGATGCAAGATACCAGACACAAATAACTCACAGTGCCAAGACCACCTGTGCAGGTTGATTACAATTTGATGCAGTCACTTCTGTATCTACTTGTACAGTTTATTTATGTTTTGGATATGGCATGAATTCATAGGAACTCTTTTTCTTCTTTCTTTTCTGCAGTGTGCTTACTTTGCTGTAGCACTCCTCTATTAGATATTTTTCAGTTTTTTTAAACACTTGTCATTATGGTAGGATAAAGACAGAAAAATATTACTGCCCCTTTTTGTGTCTTTGTGTCACTAGCTTGTACACCATTCCTTTATTGTCACATGTATCTACATAACTATTTCTAGACAAACCAAACGGTATACATGTAAACTCTTTTTATATCATTCCACCACTGTGGCCTTTATTCCTTTAAAAAAAAATTAGAATTTTAGGATAAAGTCATTAGAGATGTTCTACATTAGAACCAAATTCAGTCACACACAGGAGATCCTCAGATTCCAGGTGAGCATGCTGTTAAGGAGATTCACCCCAGGCTGCTGATCCCACAGGGCCAGCACCTCCTGCGAGGTGGTACAAGCTGGAGATCGATGTCACTATAAGGGTTCATCAGACCCAAACATGCAGGAAGAGTTGTGTAGCCTGAACTTAAAAGAGCTTCTCTGATGTTTCAGCTCT